AGAGGGTGCAGTGATGGGGTCTGAGACAGAACCTTAGTCCTGTTAAATGGTGGTCTGGGACCAATGCTTCCTTCTCCCTCCAGTGATCCTGCCCCACATCGGCAGTGCTACCTACAAAACTCGCAACACCATGGCCTTGCTGGCAGCTAACAACTTGCTGGCTGGCCTAAGAGGGGAGACGATGCCCAGTGAACTCAAGCTGTAGAGGGGCTTTCATGGGCTGGAGACATCTTGCTGGACTTTGGACTCGGGAAAGAGCCTGGTGGAAGCCTCCTCTACTGCATCTTCAGGGGGACATGGGAACTGGCAAAAGGGCTTGCCGCTTTGGGGACTTGCCATATCCAAGCCAAAAGCCTGTAATTGTAGCATTAAATAATTTCTGACACAGCATCTGGGCCTGTGACTGGGGCACTAACAAAAAGAGCATCTCTTGTGTTTGCTTACTCAGGGCACTTGGTGATCTGCCTTGACTCTGCTTCCCACGTTCCCCTCACCCAGATTGCCTTTTCCCTCACTGAGGAAAGGAAAGCAGAGCCAGAAAAACACAGCACCTGAATCCAATACCTAGACCATGGTGAAAGAACAGACTACAGAGGGGAGAAAACTGCAAGACAGAAGGAGGTGTGGTCAGCACTGTTGGCCAAACCACAGTTACGTCAGTTTTAAGATCTGTGTCCATGTCTACCTGTTGGCCCCTCTGCACCCCAAGGCCAGGCCACAAGCACTGCCACTGCAAAACCTCTCACACAGGCATAGCAGACAGGCAGGTGTGGGGAAAGCAGGAGTATCTGCTGGATTTGAAGATGACCCAGCAGCAGAGCCAGTAGAGAAGCACTTCCCTGTTTTGTTTCATCCTTAACCTAAATAGAGGTGAACATGTATTTAGAGGCATGAATATGACAGTTTTTTTTTTTATTTCAAAATCTGTTTTGACCAGTATATTAGCACCGACAGGGTGCCTCTATATTTGATGCCATCTCTAGAAGATTGTACATGATTATGCCGGGCTACAATTAAGGCTAAAAATCAAAAGTCGGGTCCCCAGTACCAGTTAGAATCCCAGTAGAACTCCAGGTCACAGCAGCCCTGGGTCCAGTTTCCCAGGGACCCTTGGAAATCTTTAAGTGCTACAGCATGTTGGAGGACACTGGCCTGCAAGCTTTCTTCTCAAACGTAGAGACTGACTACGAGGTAGATGAGATTCCAGGTCCATCCAGCAGTGGAGAGGCAGGCCCCAAAGCAAAGTCCATTCATATCCAAGCTGAGGTGAGGGACAGACTCCAAACACCACATCCTTAAGGCAGGAAGGAAGAATGGTTGCCATTCTCTGCCTGTGACACTGGCTCCTCACCCAGCAGGGCATCTCTGGTTCTACAT